ACCCTAAACCCTAAACCCTAAACCCTCACGGGGGCCCCAGGAGGGCCCCAGGCGGGCCCCAGGGGGCTCCAGGGGGCCCCAGGAGGGGTTTGGGGGGCCCCAGGGGGGCCCAAAGGGGGGTTTAGGGGCCCAAGGGGGCCCCCTAAACCCCAAGGGGCACCCCTAAACCCCAAGGGGGCCCTAAGGGGCCTTTGGGGAGGTTTTATAGGACCTTTCAGTGGTTTTGGTGGAGAGCTTTGAAATACTTACGTGAGGCCTTTTAAGGGGCCCTCGAGGGGCCCCCTGGGGCCCCCAGAGGCCCTCCGGGGGCCCCTAGAAACCATTTTGCCCTTCTCAGCTTCACACTTAGATGGCAAACGCCTAAGTTGGCCTTAGGGGCCCCTAGGGGGCCCCTAGGGGCACCCTAGGGGCCCCTAGGGGCCCTCAGGGACTTTTCGGGGCCCCCTAGGGACTTCTGGGGGCCCCCTAGGGGCCCCCCAGGGGGCCCCTGGGGGCCCTCTTTGCGTTTTTGTGGAATTTGCATTACGAGATCATTTTATATTTTTCATAATTTTATTTTCAAAAAATGAAAAACCAGATTTGCATTTTTGTGGAATAGTCGGAAATAGAAAAAGTGGAAATAAAAGGAAATAAAAAAGGAAAAAAAGAATAAGATGGAAATAAGAGATATAGAGATGAATTTAAGTGGAAATAAGATAAAAATGAAGGGGAAGTTAAATGCAAATGAAATGGAAATGAATTAGACATAAAAAGGATATTAAAATGATTAGAAACAAAAAGAAACATGAATTTAAAAAAAGTTAAAAGTGAATTAAATTGGATAAAACTGAAAGTGAAATTAAACAAGGAATTTGTTGAAAATTCATTTTCTTGATTTTTTAGTTTTTTTGGGAAATGAACATATATAGAAATAAAATAAAATGGAAATAGAAATGCAAATGGAAATGAAGATTAAAGTGGAAATAAATGTGTATAAAAATGAAAATAAAGACAAATGCAAGTAAAAAGAAATGGAAATAAAGATATATAATTTAATAAATATTAAATACTTATTAATGTAACGAGTGCTTAGAAAAAGAAACGTACAAGAAGACAAATAGAAATACTTGCATTATTTATTTGAAAGTTTATTTAATTCATTTTATTAAAAAAGATTGTGCTTTAGCACAATATATTAAAATATGTAAACATGGTATATAAATAAATATATTTATGCTTTAATGAATATTTATTAAAATGTACTTTTAAAACGTTTAAATGAATTAAAGAAAAAACAAACTTCTGTAATTGTCAATGAGGTGTATGGACAGGGAACAATCAGGTGTACGTACACTGGAGCTCACTAACGCCCTTTTGTCCTTTTTTCTCTTTTGTTTCTTTTTTTTCATTTTCCCTTTTGGTCCCTTTCTATGGACAAATAAAGGAAGAGCTCAAAAGGGCCCCTTAGGAGCCTCGTTGGGGCACCCAGGGGCCCCATAGGGGCCCTTGGGGGCCCCAAGGGGCCCCCTAAGGGGCCCCATGGCTGCCTTGAGGGCCTATAAGGTCTGGCACTATAGCTAGCCACAGCTAGCCAGAGCTAGCCACAGCTAGCCACAGTGGCTAGCCACTGTAGCTAACCACGGCTAGCCTCTGTAGCTAGCCACAGCTAGCCATAGCTTGCCATAGCTAGCCATGGCTAGCCAATGCTAGTCGTATCTGGCTACAGCTAGCCATAGTTAGCCACAGCAGAGCTAGCCACAGCTAGCCAATGCTAACCCTCGGTGCTTAGCTAGCCGCCGCAGCTAAGCACGAAACTACTGGAGGCCCCTGGCTAGCTAGAGCCTCCAAAGGCCTCCGATTAATTTTTAAGTTTTATTTCAACAAAAAGACCGGAGAAAAGCCGCTAGTGTTGCATTTTGAGGTGTATGTACACGTCAAACCGCCTCTTTCTTTGGCTCTGGAAAAGGCAAAACTGCTTTTCAATTAATTCCAAATTAAATAATTTCAGGGGCCCTCAATTAGACATTAAAAAGGGACCCTGGGGGCCCCCTGGGGGCCCCCAGGTTGGGGGTCCCCCCCGTTGGTGGGGGCCGCGCTGGGGGCCCCTGGGATGGGTGGTCCAGCGGACTTTGTGAGGCCTGAGGGGCCCCAAATGGCTGAACGTTTGTGAAATCGAATTAAAATGATATAAAAGTGAATAAATAAATAAAATAAAAGATTAAAAAGGGAGTTTGAGAGAAGTTTAGGTGAAAATACACCCCAGCAGCCACAAGGCGCCACCCCCGTGCAGGGTCACCTAACTCCCTGCGGTGGGTGTTTTCCTGCAGACTTTTCGCCATTTTTTGCATTTTTTTACTTCAAATTTATCAAATTTTATCAAAAAAAGACCCATTTAGAGGCCCTTTTCCGTTTAATTCCCTCCGGGGCCCCCTGGGCAGCAAATCTCCACTGACACAGAAACACCCTGAGCGCCCGGAGCCACTCAGGGGCCCCCAGGCCTCCCAACAGCCAACCAGGGCTTAGGGTTTAAGCTTTAGGGTTTAGGGTTTAGGGTTTGCAGCCCTCCAATGGCGCAGCGTCTGCCAACTCACCGACGCCTACGCCCCCCCCACAACAAGGATCCCTTCGACGGTTTAGGGTTTAGGGTTTAGGGTTTAGGGTTTCAGGGCCCCCTCAAACTCTGGGGGCCCCACACACTGCCGCCCCAAACAACCTTTACCCTTTAGCTTCGGATGGGGCGCCCCTCTAGCTGCTCCCTTGCCCTTGATGATGGGGTGGAGGAGGGGGGCCCCCTTGGGGGCCCCCCTCTGGGGGCCCCTCTGGGGGCCCCCATGGGGGCCCCCATGGGAGCCCCCATGGGGAGGCCCCTGGGAGACCCCCTAGAGACCCCTCTGGGGGGCCCCCATGGGGGGCCCCTGGGGGGCCCCCTGGGGGCCCCATCGCCTATAAAGAGAGATATTGAGGCCCCTTGCGGGTCTCCAAAGTGTAGCAGAGAAGTTCAAGATGATGCTTGTGTCTTGAATGTCCCAGCAGCAGCAGCAGCAGCAGCAGCAGCAAGTCCCGTTGCTGCTGCGGCTGTAGGCAGTGCAGCAGAAGCAACGGCGGCAGCAGCAGCAGCAGCAGCGCAAGTATCGGATACTCCCTTGGGATACCCAGAGCAGCAAAAGCCGCCTGCTGCTGCTGCTGCAGGGGGGCCCCAAGCTTTTGCTGCTGCTGACGAAGGGGCAGCAAAAAAGGCTGGCAAAGAGGGGCCCTCACGTCACAAACGGAGCAGCGCCACCTCTGACTGCAGCAGCAGCAGCAGCAGCAGCAGCAGTGGGACCAGCAGCAGCAGCACCAACAGCAGCAGCAGCAGCAGCAGCAGTGGCAGCAGCAGCAGGAGGCACAGGGGGGACACAGCAGCAACAGCAGGCCGCCCCTGGTGTCGGTACACCTGGACTTTCGCGCAGCACTTCAAAGACCCGCAGCTGCTGCTGCTGCACTCTGCTGCTGTTGCTGCTGCTACGAGGAGGTGGCGGGCGCTTCAAGGAGCAGCAGCAAGCCAGCAGCAGCAGCAGCAGGACCCGGAGGAGCAGCAGCAGCAGCAGCAGCACGAGCAGCAGCAGCAGCAGCAGCAGATAAGGGTGCCCCTCCGCGTTGTTCGCGACACTGCTGTGTACGTACACCCCAGCGCTGAGGGGCCCCCTGTGGGGCCCCACAACCCTAATGTCTTTTATGCTTTAGATTACCCAGGGGGGCCCCCTGGGGGCCCCCAGGGGCCCCAGAAGGGGCTCCGGGGGCCCCCCGAAGCAGAAGGGGTAGCAGCAGTGCAGCAGCCCGTGCTGCTGCTGCATTCTGCTGCTCTTGGCTTCACGGAGGAAACGTCTGAGCTCTGTGAGCAGCAACAAACGAACAGCAGCAGCAGCAGCGACAGCAGCAGCAGCAGCAGCAGAAGCAGCGTAAACAATTTTAAATGGCAGCCAGGGGGCCCCCTAGAGAAGGGCAGGCCAAGGGCCTCGTCAGGGGGAGAAACCTTGCTGCTGTTGCTGCTGCTGCTGTTGCTGCTAGTGTTGCTGCTGCTGCTGCTGTTGTTCTGAAGCTGCTGCTGCCACCTTGCTGCTGCTGATGCTGCTGCTGCTGCACGTCTTAACCCTGGTGGTGCTTCAACTGCTGCTGCAGCCGCTGCTGTTCTCGCTGCTGCGTTTCACGCTGCTGCTGCAGCTTCTGCTGCTGCTGCTGCGCGTGCCTCAGGTGCAGCAAAACGCGGGGTTCTTGTTGCTGCCTGTGGGGCCCCACAAAGCAGCGCCGTGCGGCTCTGCTGCTGCAGCCCCAGCCAGCTGCCGCTGCTGCTGCTAAAGGGCCCCCGCAAAGGAAATGATGAATGGCCTGTTGCTGTTCTAGACCCTGAGGGGCCCCCCATACCCAAGGAGCACACTGTGGGGACTTGCTGCTGCTGCTGCTGCTGTTGATTTGGTGGCGGTGGCGCTGCTGCTGCT